GAATTCATTACCATAAATAAATGGAAAACACAAAATACAGAAACTGTTAATTAATAGCTATTTTTACAGTGCATGAACACACAAATAGGTGCAAATGCATTTGCTGTTTAAACAATGTGGTGGTGCATGATGTGAAAATGGTAACTGTGCCAGGTTGAAAGTAGCAAAAAAAAAACACGCTGCCTGCCACTGCATTGTTTTGGGTGTGTTAAGATGGAATCAAACTGTCTGAATAACTATCTTTCCTGTGTTTCATTAACATAATATAATGAAAGGCTGCTCTGTACAACAACAAAAAAGAAGTTTAAGAAACTCAAAATTCATTCTGGAACCAGGTTTTTTTTTTAAGTGTAAGGTAGAGCCAACTAACCTTGCACGGATGAGGATCCACACCGTATGTTTCAAGCATTTGTGCTTTCTGCAAGAACTTCAGCTCAGAAGTCTCTGGGGTTTGACCTCTGCAAAACATTAAGAAAACATCATCACTGGTGGAAAAAACACAACATCAGCACAGCAACCAATTACATTTCAGGACTGATGTCACTGTTGTTAAACCAAATCCACATTGGTAGTGGTTTTATCCTTTTTATTATTTTTTTTTAATCGCCACAACTTAAAGTAACACTCCATTTTTTGGGAAATTCATTTTACAACTCCCTAAAGTTAAACAGTTGAGTTTTACCATTTTTTAATCCATTCAGCTATAATCTTCAGGTATGACGGGAGACTTTTAGCTAAGCTTAGCATAAATCATTGAATTGCATTAGACCACAAGCATCTCACTGTAAAATTTCACAAAAAGAGTTTTCTATTTACTATGATTTCCTATTTACTATGATCTATTGACTCTTATGTAGTTCCATCTTGTACTAAAACTGACGGAAAATGAAAAGTTGCTATTTCTTTTTTTGACAGAGAGGCTGATGGTCTAAACCGATACAATGATCCACGGCACGCTAAACTAAAAGTGCTTCCATCAGACCAAGATCGGCTGGAGAGTCCCTTTTAAAAAAACGCATCTGTATGGAAACATAATACATATCTTAATGTGAATAAACGCATTTATTTTGACACTTTACACTTCACACAGAAAGCAAAGCAAACCATACAGACGGTTCAAGTATCATCACTCCAGGAAACCTCTCACCAATTCATATTTTATTCAGCTCTGGCCATTCAACATTCAAGCCTTAATGTAACAAGACCTCCCGCCTTGTATTTCAACACAAATCAGAGAAGACAAGTAAGACTTAACATTGAATAAAAAACAGTGACTGATTACAGACCCATGATTGACTTCTGAAAATGTAAACTTCACTCTGCATGCACAACATACAACATTTAAAGTTGGTTAAAACTATTTTTCTAAATTATGCCAAGACATTTCATATTTCCTTTGACTTTGTCTCTATAATAGATCAGTTTTAAAACAACTTTGGTGAAACGTTTTGATAAACTTCAAATGTTGACTACTGTTTCCATAAAAAGACTAATGGGGCAGATGTCAACATTAAACAATCACACCAGCAGAGGGCAGCAGTAATCATACTCCTGTTTGGTGAAACATCTATTGTAGTCTGCTCTAACTTCAACTTCAGAAATGAACCAGATGAAACCTCCTATGTTTATGTGCTGACCATATATGATTCTAAACACACATTACAACCCTACAATTGATTAATAGACTAAATGACTAAAATCCATGTTTGTTTGATAGCTCATCAGGAAGGGCACTCGCTGAGCAAATTGGACTTGATTTTGTATGGCTGGAGAGAAAGTGCTGCTTGCTCACTGATGGCCTACAGCTTTATGCCATAGTAAAGTGACAGCAGATTTGACCATTATGAAAGCTGACACTTCACACCAATGACATATTGTGTGTGAATGTGTGTACTTGTAAAAGAAGAAAGGAGAGTGAAAAAGTCACCTAAACAAATACCTATATGCAATTAGAACTTATGATTCTGAAGGTATTTACAGTTTTTCTCAGTCGCTTTGGTGCATTTCTCACAACACTATTTACATTTGCACAACAGTTAATGCATTTCTCAAAACAAGTAGTGCAAACTGCAAAAACTAGCTGATAACCTGCAAAAGCGTGTCACATGCTCAAAATGGATAGTTCAATCCTCAAAAGCAAGTATTGATGTCAATCAAACTGTCAGTATCGTCCAAATGAAAAGTCCTGACACCATTGTTTATGAACAAGATAGTCAAATGGCTTTGTCATGTTTTCATTATGACAGGTTTACTCTGTAAATTTTTTCAGTGCAAAAAAAGTCATATTTTGGTGACACTTCCTGAAAATGCTCAAGACAGCACTATATACTATTTGCACAGCCATTTGAAAACTACAGTAAAGTGAGACATCACTGCATTGGGTGAGTTATCTGAGTACAAGACACTAAATATGTATGTTTCACATTTTTCTGCATTTGCTCTTTGCAATCCTAATTTACTCACAGCATTGTGCAAAAGATTAAACACACCCTTATTTACAACAAACATAAACTCCCTTTAGGTAGAGCTGTGCACAACTGTAAACAATATTGCAGTACATATTGGAACTGAGCCTATAAAATACACAGGTCTGTAAATCATTCATCAAATTGTTCAATTTTAAAGACATTTTCAGGAAAATAAAGATTTAAATTTGTTTTAAAAATGTGTTTGACAGATTTTGACAAGTAGTTCACCATTTTTGTATGTAATGACTCAAGTAATGAAATGAGGACTATTAGTTTTATATGGAATGACTATTAAGCATTTACAAGTTTACTTAATTTTGACTGACATGACATAAGCAAATGAGAATGTTATAAACAGCAGAGAGTTGTATGAAAGCAATTGATGCTTGTCCAAAAGCATCTACAATTTGTTGAAAAGAATGAGAAACTGCTACTGTGATGTGCACAAATGACTAATTGTTTTGAGAAATGCATAGCCTGTTGTGCAAATGTGAATAGTGTAGTGAGAAATGCATCAAAGTGACTGAGAAAAACTGTAACATACAAGCTACTTTATTAGCTCTTCTGTAAAGTTCTAATTGTTGTTTTGCTATTTAACTGCTACATAAATTTCCACACATTTTTATTTTTTATTTCTAATAACAAATTTATTTCATTTTTGCTATAACAGTACATACTGCAATATTTTAGTTATTTTGCAAGATACTAATATTAAAGGTGCAGTAGGTGATTGTCTTCAGTAGCATTTTTTGTTGTGCTGGTTAAAAGTCTCTTTACATTCCAATACTGGTTAAAGTAAATGATCTAAATGTATTTATATGTATTTTTATATTCTGTTTAAGGCATAAAACTAAAAAATGTTCATCCAATTAGAATTTGTCAGGCTGACCATTCAAATATTTCTGATAAGTAGCCCAAACTGTCTGTCAACAAATGTAGATTTGTACATCTGCGCACCTCTGTTCACCCAGATCCGCCGTTTGCACACAAAAAAGTGATAGCAGTATAAACAAATGCTGAATCAAACTTTTTTAAATCCTGAATCAGTATTGGAGTTACTTTTGCACACTGGAGGATGGACAACTCCCATGGCTGAAAGTATTTCTTTTAGACAGGTAATGTTATGATTTAAAACTATTTTAGTCACGCAAAGCTGATGTAGATTGTGTTGTTTCATGAGTGGATTATATGCACAGAAGTGTTGTTCAGCCAATAAAATCTTCTGATGAAAGATTGATGTGACTATGTTCAGTTTCATTAGGTGCCTTTTACAGCATCGATAATGTAGATTTTTATTTAGTTTAACAATAAAACATCAGTAAATAGCGCTATTCCGCCTATCCTGCTTTACTGAGGTGAAGTTAGTTTTATATTCATATTGCGTCATTTTTGAACAATGACAACCTGTGACGTGGTCCCTATATTGTTTACCATGCTACTTTGAAATAGCTTGTAAGTATTGCTTAGTAATAAGTGAAGAGTTTGGTTGCAAAATGCGATAAACGCCATTTTTTGACATTTTTGGAAATCACTGTTCAGATACATTTTATTTTTTCACAAAACGTGATATCCGCCAGACGAGTTTCTTTACAAAGTGTGATATAACGGTTATGGAACATTCAGGATGCTGCGCGAGCTTAGCATCCCCTGGGAAGAGAGTCACCGCCGGTGAAGTGCCCTGAGTTTGCTCATTGATTTAGCGATAGAAGATGAAGCCTTCAACTTCACAAAAATGTATAAAAATGCTACAAAAGTGGACCAGAATAAAATACGTCAATCAACAATACGCAAATGCAGCAGAGAACGAGTCTCCGCTGATGTCAATTAAGAGGAAGGCCAGGGAGCGCCTTTTTTTCTGCACTCCTCCCCATCACAAGATACCTGTCTGCAAGGCGACATTTCTAAGTGTCCTTTGTAAGTTTATTTTTTAAATAATTTCTGTAATAATAATGTAGCTGAATAGCCTATCTGAAGATTTAATTATGCAGTTGCATCGATTATTTATAGCCTAAAACCTCACGTTAATTCTTGTTGTTGTTGATTTATTATAAGGGAACATAAAGGGCACAGGTTGTTATGGAGAAAAATAAATGGTTTTGCTTTTACACAACAACCGGTAAATAAGCTATTATTATTATTATTATAATTATTATTATTATTATTACGGTGAAATAATTCATTAAATATGACAGGGCGAGGTGAGCTTGTGTCGCGGACTGGGTGCAACAGAGAACTGTGACACCGCGGCTCTGCCCGCTCTGAACATACAGGTTTGGTTTTCAGCAGCTGTGTGAATGAAGCCACCCTTCACTCTTTAAGTAAGTCATTTATCTAACTTAATCTTACTTATCAAACAAAACATTGATTCACAAGCTTTTCTTAACGGTATTACTGTAGTAGAATATAGCCTAAGGTGGATATAGCGTTTTGCAAAAAAAAAAAATAAATAATAATAATAATAATAATAATAATAAAAAGTTATGTTATGTTGTGTACATTCTGGCCTAAACTAACTCAGAATCTTATAATTATGAATCAATCTTTGTATAAATTATTCCATTTATTTATAAATTATAGTTTTTTTTAACCAATTTAAGATGTTTGACAATGTTATGATTAATATGATGCATTTTGGCTTATTTTTTGACTTATTAATGAACTATTTATGGACATAAAATTAAATAAAAAATATTTTGAAAATACTGTGTTCATGGCCTTGACTGAGCTCAAGTAATATTTTAATTTACAAAAATTGTGAATGAACTTGACTGTTGATGTCTTAAATATTAATGTCAAATAACCAACATTTTTCAAAATGGATATATCTCATTTTGCAACAAAACCCTTCAAATGTACTTCCTTTACCATGCCGGCAAACCACTAAGCATACAGTAGTCGCTTTAGGACAAAGCGCGTGAGAGACTGAGAGCAATGATCCTTGCATGCATGACACTTTGCACATTATGACAAGTTTTGCTAGCTACACAACTGAAAATGTGCTAGATATAATAAAGTTTTTTGTTTGCAATCGTAGTATTATAATTTATAATTATAGTTTATAATAATAGTATTATAAAGTTTGCTAACTGGCGAATGGCATGATCTAGTGGGTCTCTATTATCTTTAATGAGCGCGTTTGTGATTTCAGGAGGCGTGGCTTTGGACGGCAGGGGAGAGAGACTGTTTCAAAGATATTATGCTAACCTGTTAGCATTTATGCAAATCACCTACTGCACCTTTAAGCTTCTTTTTATATTCAGAGAAATTTTAAGGCTTAACCAGGTTAGGTTAACTAGGCAAGTTTAGTTAATTAGGGTTAATTAGGGAAGTTAATGGACCACATTGCTTTATTTTGTGGCCAATAAATATATAATGATTAAAATCTTAAATAATTATGGAAAATAATTATTGTCTTAGGAGTTTTTATTTTACTTTTTATTCCAGACAAACTAAAATAAGACTTTTTCAGAAGAAAAAAAAAATAATCCATTGCTCTATTTGACTTTGACATGTTATTAGATAAACTGAACTAACAGTAAACATTAAATGTTTTATTCACATGTTTCTAAATTAACACTTTATTAATAAGTTTATATTGCTAATGTTATTATGAGATTACACTACCTGACAAAAGTATTGTCTTCGATCAAAGTTTTATGAGCAACAAATAATAACTTGACTTCTAGTTGATTATTACGAAAAGGTAGATTTTTTTCTGGTGAATCATCTGTTGAGCTGCATCCCAATCATCACAAATACTGCAGACGACCTATTGCAACCCACATGGACCCAAGATTCCCACAGAAATCAGTCAAGTTTGGGGAAGGAAAAATTATGATTTGGGGTTACATTCAGTTTAAGGGTGTACAAGAGATCTGCAGAGTGGATGGTATAATCAACAGCCTGAGGTATCAAGACATTTGTGCTGCCCTTTACATTACAAACCAGAGGAGAGGGCAAATTCTTCAGCAGGATAGCGCTCCTTCTCATACTTCAGCCTCCACATCAAAGTTCCTGAAAGCAAAGAAGGTCAAGGTGCTCCAGGATTGGCCAGCCCAGTCACCAGAAATGAACATTATTGAGCATGTGTGGGCTAAGATGAAGGAGGAGGCATTGAAGATGAATCCAAATAGTATTGATTAACTCTGGAAGCCATACAGGAACGCTTTCTTAGCCATCCCAGATGATTTTATTAATAAGTTATTTGAGCGATTGTATAGATGTATGGACGCGGTCCTCCAAGCTCACAGGAGTCATACACAAGATAAGTAATTCTGTTTCCACTGCACCATAACTTTATATTCTGTACTGTACATTATTATTTTAGTTAAGTGACAAAACTTTCGTCTAAACAAAGTCGGACCTTACTGTCTTCATTAAATAATAAAAAATGAAGACATGTTTTGTTTTGGTAAAATAAGCTTAATTTAGAGGCCTTTGCCTTTCATATAAGCCATTTCTGATACCAAATGATCAACTAAAAGTCAAGTTATTATTTGCTGCTTCTAAAACTTGGATAGACGACAAGACTTTTGTCAGATAGTGTGTATTAACTTTCTTGTAAAGTGTGACTCACTGACATGCAAGCCTTCAAATGTCGAAACAAACCCAAGAAAATAATTGTTGATGAATAATAAAATGATTTACATTAAAACAAGTCTCTGGCTCACACTTTAACGGTTCCAAAAGTGCATTATTGCATCCACACCATAGAGGAAACAATTCTGCTCTAAAAAAGAAAAATTTAATAATCTAAATAACTATTTTACACCACAAAGAACCTTTTGTGGACTGAAAATGTTCAATAAATGTTAATCCATGAAATCATCAAACTCAGTACAGAAGCTTTATTTATAAGAGTGCACAAAGTGAAGCACAGAGGAACAACGGGAATTCAGAAGGGACCTTTCCATAATTCCTGAACCATACATAAAGAAAAAGGGCAGACGTACATTAACTCCGTCTTGTGAATCTCCGCAATCCTTCGTTCCAGCTTCTCTGAGTGCTTGGGGAAAAACTGGAACTTGGAGCTGTAGCCCTCTGGATGCTTTCCTGGGTCGTAATCTCCAATCTCAGCTGCAAAGTAGTCATAAAAATCAATCTTTCATCATCCAACCCTTCACAGTGTCCGACCTCAGTGGTGCAGCAGACACCTAAATCAATCTTTCATTGTGCAACTGTGCCACTCAGATGCATTTTATTTCACATATGGCTATACTAATGTGTGGTCTTAATGAACACGCTCTGTGAGAGGAAGTAATGGGAACCGTATGTTCTTCACAGGGGTTTTAAGGATTAGCATATAAATAGCAACACCTGTAAAATGCTTTTTGCTTCTGGATTTGGTAGCCATGAGTTTCTTTGAGTCCTGGTCATTGCTCTGTGTGATGAGGAGATGGAACATTGTGTCTTTCATTAAAGCATCATTCAATGCATGACCCTCATTAACCAATCAGAGAACATTTCTGTGCCTCAAAGACACTATTTTCTTTCTTATGTGACTGAACATCTCTGTGGACAAAACTTCTGAAACAATTTTAAAAGTACACCATGTTATAACTGTAAAGAGTATAATAAAGCAATAATAAAAAGTTTGGGGGTCAATGAGGTTCAAGTTTTTGTCTACTATAGTCGGAGAATTTAAATTTGAATTTAAATGACATTACAAACAGTATGATTGTGTACAAATATTTGTATTATTAGTTTTGATTTTATTTTAATATATATTTAAAAATGAAATTAATTCATTTGATCACTCCAGTCTTAACTGTCATGTGATTCTTTAGAAATTATTCTAATATGCAGATTTTGTGCTCAGGAAACTTTAGTTTATTAGTATCAGTATTAAAAACATTTATATTTCCACAATACTGGGTTGAGGCTGAAAAGGCATCTGCTGCGTAAGAAAAACATGAGCTGGAAAAGTTGGCGGTTCATTCCACTGTGGCAACCCCTGATAAATAAGAGACTAAGCCAAAGGAAAATGAATGAAACACTTCTACTTAATGTTTTTTTTTTTTTGTGTGTGTGATAACAAAGATCCATAAAAGTTTAGAATTGTTTACTGTTACATTTTAATCAATTAATCATTCATTCATTCGCTTATTTTCTTTTCGGCTCAGTCCCTTTATTAATCAGAGGTCGTACACAGTGAAATGAACTACCAACTTTTTTTTTTTTTGCACACCCCCACCCAAAATTATTTTTGTTGCCATAAAAGTACAGAACCACAATGAAAATACACCCATAATAAAAAGCTAATACACAGTCATCATGAATTTGTATTGTTGTTGTCAAAAAATCTTTAATTAAAATGAAAAACATTTGAAATTCATTGATGCATTGAATTGATAAAGTCTTTTATTATGTAAAGTTTCATGTCATGCAATGAGATTTCACTCCATGTAAAATTGGAATTCCCAAGGGTTTGCCCTCTCTTCTATTTTGAACATGAATTGTGCATATGTTTTAATATTTGTGATCACTTCCAAACACAATGTCAGCACAAAAAAAACATTTATGAAAAGTATCCCTTATGGCACAAACATTGCTTTGACCCAACAACAACAAAAAAAAAGAATTTCTAAACTTGCTAATATATATTTTAAAGAACTTACTAAAACAGAAAATCTTACTTTCTTAAACACGCACTTCTTTGACCACAGGTCAGAATGTCGCACTTTCAAATAGTGCATGATATTGACCCTCACACCCTATTGGACTGTTCCTTTTTCTTTTGATTATTCTAATTGATTGCAATAATATAAGGAATATGTACTGAAAACTTTTGAGAAAAACAAAATTGAAAGCCATGACATTGCCCTGTATGGCACAACTGGGGCCTCACCCTGAAGTCAGGCCTGAAGGAGTGGCTTGGCACCATCTCCTGCAGGAACAACCATAAGAGGCCAGTGCAATGTGAATTGGGAAGTGGTCAAAAGTCAAGGCTACGATGACCTGATCTTTGGACACATGAATGACCTTGGGACATGACATATCACCTCACTGGAACAAAAGGAGTCTGAGTCTTGTGTGGGAAGTTGAACAGTACAGACTAGAAATAGTCCATCTCACCTTCATGCACAGTTTGCACACTCAACCTCTGAAAAACTTTGACCAGATCAGATCTTGAAAGAGGCTGGAGACATTGAGAACAATGGTATTTAACTCCATTTTCTATGCAGAGAAGCTGTGGCTGTGGGGAGTGTTGTGCAGGTGATGGACACCAGAAGGAATGGATGTCATCAAGCTGAAAAAGAAGCCCTTACAGACCTGATTGGCTTGTGGAACTCTCAAGGCAGCTTAAAGGTACTGACAGGCCAAGCACACAATAGTGGTGCTCAAGGAATCAAAAACTCAGGCCTGAAAAGAGTTCATGGAAGAAGATTATTGGAAGACTACTTCAAAGAGACTGACAAACTGTCAGGTTCCTTAGGAAGGGGAAGAAATACTTCTCCAACACTGTTTATTGTGGAAATGTTAACCTTAATTGAGGATGGTGGAATAAATACTTTAGGGATCTTCTTAATACCACCAACACACCTTCCTTTGTGATAAGATTCTTGAGGTTCTCAGTACCTCAAGGCTCTTGACTAGGTGGGGCTGTATTGGTTGACACGCTTCTTCAACATTGCATGGAGGTTGAGGACAGTGCCTCTCGGCTGGGCAACTGAGGTGATCGTTTCCATTCTGACTAAGTGGGACCGAAGTGTGTTCCAACTACAGAAACATCACACTTCTCAGCCTCCACATAAAGGTCTATGCCAGGCTACTAGAGAGGAGAATCAGGTCGATAGTAGATCCTTAGATTCAGGAGTACCAATGTGATTTTTTGTGTGGGTATTAGAACAATGGACTAGCTCTATACCCTGTCTAGGGTGCTAGAGGGTTTGTGTCAGTTTGCCTGTCCTGTCCACATGTGCTTTATAGGTTTGGAAAAAGCATTTGCCTCATCAAACCCTGATCGTCAACTGAGACTGCTGCCCTGGCCCTAGATAAATGGCAGACAATGGATGTACTCAAAATGGAACTTAAAAACTTTATTTTGCCTGTGCTATGCTATACAGCAGGGATCACCAAACTTGTTCCTGGAGGTCAATTGTCCAGTAGAATTTAGCTCCAACCCTAATCAAACACACCTGAACAAGCTAATCAAGGTCTCACTAGGTCTCTAATCAAGGTCTCACTACTTGAAACACCTAGGCAGGTGTGTTGAGGCAAGTTGGAGCTAAACCCTGCAGGGCCCCGGACCTCCAGAAATGAGATTGGTGACCCCTGATATCGAGGACTAGGTTTACAATAGGTTAGTCAAATTTTCTTCTACTTTACCTTGTAAGATGTAAGCTGCCAACATGGCCGCGTCAGATGTTTTGCAAAGGAGACGACCATGATACAAATCTCTCTTAATCTGCAGGAAGACGAGATACCTGAAAACAGCACACAAAGGCAAAACATAAAGCAGAGTAAACATATATAATAATCCTCCACATTTCTGTTGAACTATAAAAGTATTACTGAAAGTCTATTTTTGAGTAGGGAAGTCTGGTAAAGAAGGACAAAAAGTAAAAGGAATTGATCTGAATTAGTACAGATGTAAAATGCTCAATATTTCTCGTTGATTTGGTTAAAATTAGATTTTTATTTTCGAATTAAAGAATGATTTGAGAATTGCACTGCTGTGTCAAAAGCTATTAAGCTAAAAAAAGAGAGAAAAAGACAGTAGTGGTTAAAAACACTTTATACTTTAACTAGATTTTCTTGTTTTGTTTGGTCATGACCACAAAAGTAAATTATATATTTACAATAGTCCTGGTTGGATTACATGTAGCATTTGTTCTGTCATCTTTAAGACAGACATAAACACAAAAATAACACAAATCAAAAAAGGTTTTATAACAAATATATTTGATAAATCTTACTTAAGATGCAAAACAATGCTCTGCATAAGGCTCGATTTGACTAGTTTTAGTAGTTGAGAACTCACAAAAACCTTATAAAAAAGTCCACCAGATGGAGAATGATTTGTGCTGCAATGTCATATATGATCATTTACAGATTATGCACTAGAAAATTACTAAAAATTTAGTTAACAATAAGAACTGTTTCCCTGAAACTATTTGGAGTTTTGTAGAACTGTAGGGAAAGTTCTGTAGTGTATTCATAATAAGTTATGAGCACATACACTAAATTTTAATTGAATGAAATAATTTAAACATATTTACTCACTGACTGCTTTATGCACTAAAATATTTCATTTTGTCATCAATGTCATTCTTTCACACAAAGACAAGAGCTTGCTTGTGCACCAAGATCACATTTTCTATTCATAAATCAATCCAGTCCCAATCTGGTACGTTGCTCTTCTCACCTTGTGTCCAACAGATGTCCCGTGAGTAAAGAGCGACATGCTTGTCTTTAACTTCTCAAAGTAGGCCAGCCCAGCTAGAGCTAATAGCTTTTCACTTAAGAGGCCATAGGAGCTAAAAATGCAATTATGTTCCCTGAATTCTCTCTAGGTGACAGCAGCTAAATGGCAATTTCTGTAGCCACCAGTCAATTTCTGGCCTACATATCAGCTTCCTTCTTTATTCCTAACCTGCCATTTATAGAAACACACTCTAAGAGTCGGTGTCATTTGGTTCTGGAGAAGGACACGGCAAATGTAGGAGCAGCTAAACAGCAAATTATTGGACTGAGATGCTTGTTTTTGCTTTGTGGAATATTTGTACCAAAGATACTTTTCAGTAATCCAACAAACACAGAAACTGGATACATACTACTAACAGACATTTTAAATTTACATTTACGACAGATACTTTTATCTAAAATGACCTGCAATTAAGGACAAATGAAAAAATTAAAACAATGAGAAAGTATCAGTATATAAATGCTAAGTTTTTTTCACAGCACACTCAGAATTACACAGTGTTTCCCAAGAAGTATGGGGTGTTTATAAAAAGGTACCTGATACAGAACATATGGAGAGTAAGAGTGTGTCACCTACAGGTGGTTTGTCAAACCCAAAAGTTACCTCATCCTTAGGGCACTTTTTTGGAACACACAAAAAAAAAAATGTTAGAAGTTAGTTGAGCCAATATGCAAAATCTGCAGCAGAAAGGTTGCTTTCTTTTCCATATTCACAAGCTGTATATGAGCATTTCCATACAAATGACAGCCTTAAAGGAAAAAAAGAGTTTTCACCAAAATATTAAAACTATTTCTGCGTTTTTTTGTGTAAGCAAGCATTTTACAGTGGTTTATAATTACTCAAAAAGGTTTCTGTAAATGTTTTCAAACTATTATTTTTGATTTACCAAAGTCACACAAGTGGCAATTTCACATCTGTCACATCCATAACAGAAAAATGTGACATCCATAACAGAGCTTTTTTCTCATAAATGCACAAAATGTCAAATAAAATAAAATCAACTATGTTTGTTCTATAGTGAGCCGACTCTTATATTTTTTATTAGCAGTATTTTTTATTATTATTATTATTTTATTTTTTGGGTTGAGCAGTTTAATTCACAGAATACAAAGTATGTTTGTACATCCATAACACGTTTATTATTCCTCATTTAAAATATAAAAAAATATTTACAGATTGATGTTTTTCTTCTACCGTAACTCTGTGGTTAGTTGTTTTGGAAAATACAAATAGATGTTTCAATATAATGTTAACATATACTTTCTCTTTGAATTTATGTTTTAAGAATTTACTGCAAATGTCACACCCATAACGCTGGAATTGCTCGTATGTAGTACCCCATGCAAACTTTAATTACAGGGGTGTTTGCCACATATTACACTATTTCTTTAAATTTCAAATTTCTCTTGTGAACTATTGTTACGAGATTACATGAACTTTATGAACTTTAAAAAGATAAAAATAAAACACTAGAAATAAAACACATTTGCTAGAGACCACTGGACATCAATCAACCAAAACTACCTCAGTGTAGGCAGTGCAGCTAATGGATGACAACAAAAATCTGCACTTTCACTTTTAAATAATAATCACAAGAATATTAAGACAATGTGCTAAAATTAGAGGTTCGGTTTCTCTAAACTAGATCGTCATGCATTCTTTTTTTTTATTATTTTGCATATTTACAGTTAAATCCTACAATTAAAATATTTTAATCAAAACAGGCCTAATTGTATTGTATTGTATTGTATTGTATTGTGGGCGAGGCAGTGGCGCAGTAGGTAGTGCTGTCGCCTCACAGCAAGAAGGTCGCTGGTTTGAACCTCGGCTCAGTTGGCGTTTCTGTGTGGAGTTTGCATGTTCTCCCTGCCTTTGCATGGGTTTCCTCCGGGTGCTCCGGTTTCCCCCACAGTCCAAAGACATGTGGTGCAGGTGAATTGGGAACTTTAAACCATTTATTATTAGCTGTTCTTTCTTTTCACAAAACTATACAATATAATATATATTTATATATTTGTTTATATAATAAATATAAATTTTTAATTAAATAGAGGGGGCTAAATAAAAAGTTATGAATCACATACTTTAAATTAAGCTGTTGATTTCAGAGAATTAATAAGATGTCACTTTATTTAAGAAAAAAAAATTGTTCTCACTATAAAGCCATCAGAAAATATTTGTTCATTCTTTTTCTTTTTGGCTTAGTCCCTTTATTAATCCCAGGTCTCCACAGCGGAATGAACTGCCAACTTATGGAGCACATGTTATACGCAGCGGATGCCCGTCCAACTGCAACCCATCTCTGGAAAACATCCATACACACTCATTCACACTCATACACAACGAACAATTCAGCCTACCCAATTCACCTGTACCACATGTCTTTAGACTTGTGGGGGAAACCAGAGCACCCGGAGGAAACCCACACAAACACAGAGAGAACATGCAAACTACGCACAGAAACGCCTACTGACCCAGCTGAGACAGCACTACCTAAAGCACTACCTACTGCGCCACTGCGTCGCCCCATCAGAACATTTTTTTAAATGAAAATCAGTGGAAAACAGTGGAACTTGTAATTTTGCATTAGTCATCATTTAGATATATCTTCCTTTATAATGTGTGATGTGGCATTGAAAAATTTAGCATCTGTGACACTTTGCTATGTACATTTGTGATTAACACCGGTTGCTAGGATGCAACTTGGGTTTGATTGACTTGGATATCAGGAAATTATGCTAATGCCAATTTTGCACATGGATGAGTAAAAATCTCATTTTAGGATTTGATGATTTTCAAAGACAAAAACTCAGTATGGAATTAAAGTTAAATGATGACTGGCAGAAAAAGTTCTGAGAGATGTTTTCCCCTCAACACATTTCATCAGCTGTAATACCCTTCACTGAAGTGGATGCATTTCTTTCCCTCAGGAAATAATGCAAATGCATCCTAATACCGTAAACAATGTCCTCTTCTTTCAGATAATCCCTCTAATTCTCACCCATATCCCTCATTAGTCTTTCTACCTGTCTCTCTCTCTCATGCAATTTCCTGTCTTCAACTCTGTTCATCCTCTTGTTTCATCTCTCTTTCCTGCTTCTCCTCTCATTTTAGCGTGAGTTATTACTTTGTCTTCCCCACGAGCATTTCATTTCACTACAGTAAATGCTAGCAGTGCTCTACTACTCCACACATCAATCAATACCTAGACTACTCATTGTAGTGCCCATACTTCAGATTTCCACAAGCAGGATTTAAAATTAGGAGGTCTTGGAGCAAAAATGGCAACAAATTCAGATATAATGCAAGTAACCATAATCAAAGTTTTTTATGAGATCTTATGCTATGTTCAATACCCAGTGTGAGTTCAATTAAAGTAAAGTAGATTGCACACAGAGTCAATGCAAACATGCAAAGAGAGGCAGATTTCTGCCAGGTGGCGTAAATGGTGTGGAATTAGAAATTAGTTAACTTTAAATTAAATGAAGTCAAGGATGCTTCTGTAATGAACAAACTTTCTGAAAGCTCTTTCGGAAAATTCCCAGTATGAATAATTGTTTTTTATATGCCTTATAGGAAACCAATACGGGCAGCATGATGGCTTAGTGGTTTGCACTGTTACCTCACAGGAAGAAGGTCGCTGGTTCGAGTCCCAGCTGGCATTTCTGTGTGGATTTTGTATTTTCTGTCCACGTGGGTTTACAGTCCAGAGACATGTGGTATAAGTGAATTGAATAAATTAAATTGGCCGTAGTGTATGAGTTTGCATATGAGAGTATATGGGTGTTGGCCACTACTGGGTTAAAGCTGAAATGACAACCGCTGTGTAAAACATATGCTGGATAAGTTCATTCCACTGTGGCGACCCCTGATGAATAAAGTCTAAGCCGAAGGAAAATTAATGAACAAATGAAGAATCCAATACAAATTTACTGCCTAAACAGATGGGGTGTAATGATAGCTAAAAAAAAAAATAAATAAATAAAAAACCCTGCTACCTACCTTCATCTTTTTGACATGCACTTGCATATTAATGCAAATTTTAACAGAGACTGACTTGCTGTCATTGTTCTGAAATGCGTGTTTTCATCAATCCAGTCACAGGTGGATAATGCTAAATGTGAGTAAATAGGGACTAAACATGAAATCGTCCACTTTCCACTACTTCCAAGGGCATTTGGAAACTCATTTGATCTAATCGGTCTCTTAGTGTAAACACTTGTGTGGTTTAATGCATTCAAAAAGCCCCAAAAGACTTGCAACAGTCCGCCCACCAACTAGTATATGCTCATTATAAGTTTTCTGTGAAAGCTTAAAGCTTCAAGAAACTCTCGAGTACTTTTTTATTTTTATTTTAACAGATTTGTGTGTGTTGAGCAATGAGCATGAGTTAAGACAACGTTAGCACCTATCAGCTTTAATTGTGGGGAAAGGTGGATAATTTAGAGCTCTTGTCAGCTAATTTCATCTTCCGGGATGAAAATCATTTTTGGGACAGGAACAAAATCAGTGCCTGTCCAGAGATGAAGTGTCGGTTTTTCATAATTATTCATTGCAGAGTTTTCTTATTGTATGAGAAAACCCTGCTTCTTAATTATTCATTAGAGCATGTGCTTTCCAAAGGCACAGCAGACCTGCCAAGCTGTAATACCATGTCCACACAATGACATTAGTATTAAGCCATTTATAAAGGGTTAAATGTGTTTGTTTCCATGATCCATGGGGTTTGTTGCATGTTTTTCCAAGCGATGCTGTCAGGGCCGATACAGCAAAGCTGTTGGTTTGCAGTAAGCATTTTTGTCGGGAGAGCTGTACGAGAATTGGAGAATGTCTCAAAATGGCACACTATACACTATGCACTTGTACTTATGTACTTATGGACTTTTGCACTCACACACTCAACAGCATAGTATATGTATGTAGTGTGATCCCAATTTGGAACACTAATGGTTTTTTACTAAGCTGAATTTCAAACCGTTTTCTGGATGATGTTTGATGGTTGGCAAATTAGTAAAATATATGACCAAACTACCAAATAATACCTGCCTTGAGTATAACCGCCCCTTCCGCTACGTGAACAAAGCAGCAGCCGATGAGTGTGTGAACTGTCCATCATTCCACACTTCATTTTAACGGTTGAATAAGTGCATCATCCTGGTAATTAAAGTGCACTTAATCTTTTTAGAGTTTTCAGTGTGCATAAGTATGCGATTTGGAATGCACTTTCTGTCTTTTATTAGTTGAGTTTGTTACCATTCAGAAGCATCGCCTATTCGTGTTCACCTATTTTTAAAATCCTCTGGATTACCAGCAGTTCAAATGGTGAAATAGACAGGGCAAGAGACCTGCTGCATTGCTATCCTCTGTGTCTGCATTCAGACCCGCGATTGAGGAGGAAAAAAGTCGTCCTCATTTATAGTGTTTATATAAACATGATAGTCTTCATAATGATATAGACAAACAAATTTTAGTTATGTGTATATAAAAATTACAAATAACGTATAGCAGTGCAATAAATGACTGCTTATTTCTTTGCATTTTAACTTTAAACTATAAAATCAGGGATCTCCTCAGCTTTGTGTCTCATTTTGTGTGCCAACTGACAACCTCTTTTTCCTCTGCTCTGCTGGTCATGCCCACTCCTACCTCTGCCCAGAGCTCAATGCCCATCATGAAGCATTTTTTGAGAAAAAAAAAATTGAGGTAGACTTGAACCAAACGAGAGGGGTTTCATGTCCCTTTAATGAACCAAAGTATCTATACTGCTTTGGATCAAAACACAACAATTTTAATCAGAATCACCCACATCCTCAGGCTCATGTTCTCAGAAGTGGGTCTATTTTATGCCTGCAACTTACTTGCATGGCCCCTCATTAGACTATAAGAAGCGCACAGTATCATAAGATCTCTTTTCAGGTCGAGTGTGTGAATTTCTGGGTGACCTCATTGCAGACTGATCGAGAGGGGATGAAAGAGGTGGAGAGAGAGACACTGTGATGCTAGCCAAGACTTTGCTAGCTAGAGGCTAATCATGTATCATTCAGAGAAGTCTGTTTGGAGCCACTGACCACATGTTCCCTTAGCGGTGAGTAAGAAAACAGCACTGAATCCTAAGAGTAACAGAAAAATAAGAGTGGTTTAGACACATGCTTTGTGTGTTTTAATATCTTTCTATTTAAATAAGCCAAATTGTGGCCTGAACTGTGCTGGCATTTTTGCATATTCAGGTTTTTCTTCTTCTTTTTATCTTTTTGTTTAAAAATCAGTAAAAAAAAAATTCACATTTAAATCTAAAGTATAAAATGCATCAGTAATAGCCTGATTTTTTAAAAAGCCTGTGTTTGTTTTGAAAAAGGTGGTTGCTAGAAAGTGGCTAATTGAGACTGCAGAAGTTAAAGTGACATTAAGGGCTCTGTTTTAACGATCTAGGTGCAAAGTCTAAAGCGCACAGCGCAAAAGCATTAAGGGCATGTCCGAATCCATTTTTGCTAATTTAAGGATGGAAAAATACACTTTGCACCCTGGCGTATGGTCTTACAGGGTTTATTCTCTTAATGAGTTAAGGGTGTGTTTTGAGCATAACATGTATTAAACCTTTTAAAGTCTCTAAATATCACACCAAACAAACTTATCTATTCTCTAATCAACCTATGCATCCTTAAGAAAATCAACTATGGATTTACTAAAAATAATTGAATAACATGGTTACTGTATTATTGTATGGTATCAAAGAATTAAGGTTTTGCAATAGTAAGCATATAGTTTTTGTTACGATTTTGTTAAAAATTTAAATTATTCAAGTATTTGTTCAACTAAATTTAATATACAAATCAATATCAACTTTGATACAAATAATAATTAAAAAAAACATTTATACAATAATGTAAAACCACAGTGAATGTTCAAAAGTGCAGCTTCTCTTTCTTTGTAACACTTTTAACAATGTCAACCTTTAGGGGGAAATGCTTTGAAGTAGTCAAGTTTGAAGTCATGCTATCATTGTATATATTGTTCCTACTGTGTGCACTCTCAGAATAAAAGGGTGTGCCACTTAGATACTAATATGTATGTATTTTATGTATTTCGTGCAACAATATGCACATTTATGGTACCAATACTCAACTTCTAAATGTAAAAACAGATACAAAAGCATAGAGATTAGATTTTGTGAATCTACAGATGATCATAATGAACAAAACAATCATAACAATGATATACAACTAGGGATGTAACGGTATCAGAATTTCACGGTACGGTAATACCTCGGTATGAATGTCACGGTACGGTATTTATTGAATCATTTACAGGAAAAAAAAAACTTTTGAAAATACTCCAAAAAAGTGCCAAAAGTGTCAATGACATACAAATTAGTCATCTATCTGTAAGCTTTGAAACAGGAACTTCAATTTTAATAACAAAAAAATATTAAACCATGTAAAAAAAATAAAGTTTCAATTTAGTATTGTTGAAAACTCATCACATTCAACATTTAATCACTCACTTAGATAGAGATGGGTTTAAAGGAAAATTATCATATAATTATAATCTGGTAAAAGCTGGTATCTCTGGGCATTTACAATGTCCCCTGCAACAGAAAAAACCCCTCTCATTTGGGACTGAGGTTTCTGGGACAAGAGAGATATGACTTGGTCCATGTTGACAGCAGTGGGGTAACGTTGTGCATTGTCTTTCCCCCACTTGAGAAGACAAACCATGAGTGAGATAGAGGTCTCTTTGCGGTACAAGTCAATGTCTGCATCAATATGAACAGTGTGCTGTGTTTCTGCAGTCCCCATGACTGTTATTAGTCGTATTCCCCAACTTGCAGGCACGTGCACACATAGGGCTCAACCTGTGCAGTGCACATGCCCTTTTTAGTCTTGGATAGAAAATGCCCTTCCAAAACGATCAAAAGTGCCCCCGCGACGCGACACAACCTCCGTCCAGTCCAGCCCTTCAGTAGGCGCGCGATAACACCTCTCTTGAGTATGCGCGCTCAACCCCCCCTCGGCGCTTTTTCAATACGCGCGCCACAACACAGCTGATCAGAACGCGCGCGACAGCACCGCTATTCAGCACGCGCGCGGCGACAACACCCGCTTTAGGTTCCATCATTTCCATCTTTTTTTCATCTCCGCTACTAGCAGCACACTCCATTTCCGCATTACTGGATCTGTAGCGACAACAGACCGCAAAGGATTATGGCCACGCCGGGGCTGATGGGAAATGAAGTTTCAGCTACCTCCCGTTTGCTTCATTCGCCTAAGCAAATTTTCTCAGAAGACCTATAGTTTTACCGAGTCATGCGACTTCGGTAATATCGAAAAAATTTAATATTGCGGTATGACGGTATTTACAATACCGTTACATCCCTATATACAACTGCTGGTCAAACAGCAAATGTTCTGCAATAACCTGAAAATTATTTTGGGTCATTGTTGAGGATAATACAAACATTCAGCTTGGCCTACAAAAATACATATGAAATTACTGCCTTCATCAAAAACAAGCTGGCCATATTGGCAACTAAATCCCACATGCAGTTTCAAAGCACCTCTAACAGAGCAAAACTGGATTGCTCTCTAATGCTGCTAAACATCTGTTTCCATTTGGTTTGCAATGCTTAATCAATGGTTTCATTGTGGTAGCTCATACCTGGTGATCTCCTCCTTTAGAGCAGCAGGATCTGGTGGGTAGAACTTCACACGCAGACACATGGTAAAAGGAGGTTGTGCTGTATGGAGAAAATGAACTGATTTAAAATATCGTACTACAAAGAATACATGGTAATACCATGATCAAACAAGTATAAACAAGAGGCTGAATGAAATTATTTACATTATTTCAATATACTGTAATAATCTGACAATTGTCTTTAATCTACTGTAATATGTACTTTTGAATTAGCAACCAATCTTGCCCAGCTGCTACTGTACATGATTTGAATTCATGATGGAAGTAGTTACTCGATTGAGAGACTCTGTGATTATATTTTTTTGCACACTTATGTCATTAAACTGCTGTATAAATGCAATATCACATAAAAGTATTTTCTAAAGATTAATCCAAAGGAACTGTTGTTTGAACTAGAATTAAATATTTTTTCCTGCAAATTTATGTTCTCTATTTTTTTTTTTTTTATCCCCCTTTGGTCTATTTCTAAGGCTTAAAAAAATTATTATGTTTTTCAAGCTTTTGAGTAGCAAGTGCAATTATTATTATTTTTTTTTACTTTAAAGTATAAAACAGAACATACAGTACAAGTTTTAAAAAGTACAAAATCTTATTACACAAAGGTTTGCTAAAGACAAATGCAAAGTACCTTGCTTAGGTATGAAAACAACAATTTTCTTAAACATTACTGAAATCTGAACACAATGTACCAGATTTAAATAATAGAAATATTATCTCACAAAGTTTTGCTTCAGATAATCCTGAAAGATGATACATGCTTAAGAAAATGATTTGTTTTTGCACTGTGCGCCTTGTGTGAGATCAGGACTATATGAATTATTTTTATCCAGCTGATGAAAGATGACAACAATAACATACAAAATCTAAATCTACTTTATTGAGCATGTTGAGCTTATAAAGCAACCAATGGCCAACAGTTACTGAAAGGTTATCATATGTTGAGCTGGACCCTAATGCAATTAGCATAGCATTTATCATATTTAATGAGGACTTGAAGAGTTACTTCACCTCAAAATCTACGTTTTGTCGTTATTTACTGACCTTCATCTTATTTCAAAGCTGTTAGACCTTCAAACACAAATGATGATCAAATCTAAGAGATTTAAAATTCTGATCAATTCACAATGAGAAAAATAAATAAATCCACATAAATCAAGACATTTAATTGAAATCTTCTGAAGAGAAGGACTTATTTTAAAATATACTTGACTTATGTTACCACATTTAAAGGGGTCGTGAACTGTAAGTTTTAGAACTCATAACTTTGTTGTTAATGTAAAAACATTTTATATTGAAGCCAATCAGCCAGTATGACAGTTTGTGGAATGTGTCACTTATTATCTATAATTAAACTCTACAGAACATCATCAAGGCCTTATTCTATATCACTATCTCCTTAGCATAGCCCACTAATTCGCATCTGCAGTTGATAAATAATGAAAGAGGCTAATGCGTTACACAGATAATGATGTAGTCCTGGGCAATTCCAGGTTGTGAAAGAACTCTTTCTTCCTTGCCTTCCTACTTATTCATACATTAAAAAGTAACGTGCGTGCGTAATCGGCAAAAACATGCTGAATCAAAAAGTTTTAAAAACCTGAATCAATATTGGAGTTAACTTTGCACACTGGAGAAAGGATGACACCATGGCTGAAGGATTTCTCTTAGACAGGTAATGTTTTGTTTTAAAACTATTCTAGCTTCATGCAAAGCTGATGTAACGTTGGATGTTGTTGTTACAAATGGGTTATATCTGCACATAATTGTTGTTCAGCCACTAAAATCTTTCAGTGAAAGATTGATAAGACTATTTTCATGAGGCACCTTTTACAGAATCGATAATGTAGATTTTAATTAGTTTAACAACAAAACACAAGTAAATACCGCTATTCTGCATAGTCTCTCCCTATTGTTAACCATGCAACTCTGGACGGCAGGGGAGTGACTGTGATTCAGAGATTTATGCTAAGCTGTTAGCATTGTGTATCACCTACTGCACCTTTAATATTGCTTTGTTTTTATTACAGATCGTTCGATATAGCTCTTAAAAATAACCTGTTTTTGTTTGGTGTCTGTGACATTGATACCAAGATATTCCCATATTACTGATTATTATTATGCGGTTTTTCTTTGATATTAATTTGTCTATTAATGCTTCTGAAGTAGCAGACGCCATACTCCCACTTGTCAGTGCTTTCCTGTTCGTTTTCTTTTTTTTATTGTAGGCATAATTTGTTTGCGCAACTCTGATTGGGCAGAATAAAAGTGTGCTCACTCAATTGGTTAGTAAGACTGTCACACACAGCCGGCAGTCTCAAACCTTTCAAATTGCGATTCAATTTCGATAAATCGCACAGGCTCACTTATAAATAACTAACCTAGAGGAAAGAGTGCTGTTAAAAACTAAGCTCATAATCAATTGAAAAGACTATAGCTATATAAGACTATAGCGATGCATTTTGAAAATCTCAGAATCGATGCAGAATCAATTTCTCAAAAACATTTTCACCATGGCTCTAGTTTATAAACCAAAGCTAAAAATGTATTTGTTTATTTTATAAAGTGATTTTTCTCCTTTTAAATTTTGTATTAAAGTGCACATTGCTTTTGTTCTCTCTCTCTCTCTCTCTCTCTCTCTCTCTCTCTCTCGCTCTCGTTTTATAAACATTTTGAATAGCGATCATTTTAGCTGAAAAGAATTTCAATGCATGGATAGAAATTTCTCAGATCTGAAGAAGAACACGGTTTTACGGGTTAAAAATTACATGCGGGAGATTAAAAGATGTCAGAATTATTATTGTGGGGTGCACTGACCCTTTAAGTACACGATTTACATCACATATCTTCACAGGACAGGCTATTAAACACATGCAAAGGTCAGCACTTCAACAAATGGCAGCTCCTTTTAGAGATCACAGCAGTTGTTAATGTACGATAGCCATGAATCCCATTAGCATGCTTCATTACAGTCACCATAGTGATGTTGTTCCTAATTGCTCCATTATGTCGACTAGCGCACTATAAATAAGATTTGACGGATGATACTTACATTTCATCTGCTTCGAAATTGACTTGGTGAACTCCAGCCAATGCTAAAACAAAAGAAGAAAGAATTTTAATTCCACACACACACACATACATAGACAGAGCACACGCACACACACACATACACACACACACACACACACACACACACATATATATTATAACTATATTTCATCTAACACATAATTACACAGGAGCAGGTGGTCAGTGTGGGAAGATGTACAGAGATTTTATATCAGTATGAGTGTGAGATGGGGGCAGGGTAGATAGATTAATCATTTCATCTAATTTCTCTCTTCTTCGGAGCGAAACATTAGCACATCTTCCACGTCACGCTGAGATTCTATCAGTGCTATTGTGTGCAGCTCCAGATAAGCCAAATCAGTCAAACCGAGCCATCGGTTTTGAGAAAGAAAGTATATTTGGGTCTTAGTGCCAGTAGGCTAATAATAGTCTAGAAATAGCATGAGGCTGGATTCGATTTCAGATTCTAATCTGAAAGCTATTTGGACAATATTTTTGGCCTGTCACATTATCGTTTTTCAGGATTGTCTGCAAATCTACGGCATATTTTGCCAACTAAGAATAATCTAAAGGGAACTGTGTTGAGTGTAGTGTTGTCCTTGTGTGTCATCTGCAGTAGACTAGCATCAGCTTGATGTCCTCATTATTATTTATGTCACTCAATCCAAAAGGCTCCCAAAGGGGGTCAGTGAAAAAGACAGACATGAAGAAACTCTGGAATATGTGTATGCAAAGCCTGTGCGCTGTCAAGTTTGCATTTGGCGGACAGAGATCAGAACTGATCTCTAATTGTCAAAATAAACAGTATATTCTTGCAGGGAGCTACACACATTTCCAATTAGAATTTTTGTTTAGGTTTTTATCTTTTTAAATAACAATTTATTTAATTAACAAAATTATATATATATTAAGTCACTTCCTAGTCAATTGAAGGTCTCCAGCTCAGATTTGTAATTTTGTCTATTTATTTGTCCATAATTGATGTGTAGTATTTTGGATTTTATTGAAACATCAATTAAATATTTTTACTTGGCTTTGTCTGAATATTGTTTGTTTGTTTTCAGTTGCATTATTACTATTATTTGAGCAGGGTAAAATGTATAAAATGTTGTTGACTTTACATGCCAACCTTCACAGCCCTGTCACTCCTGTCTGTGTTTAATGTCTCTTTGTTTGTTTTGTTTTTTTAGCACTGTCTCTTTTGTTGTGTTGGCCATGTGCACCCTTGTCCTGCCTCCTTGATTTTATATATACTGTTTTATTTAGGTAAACTCCTGAGGTAAGTTATGTCTCTCTGAACTTTAACATAAAGTTTTTTATTATTTATTACTGCATCGATGCATCCTCAATATCAAGAACACCTCCGGGAACTTTCACGTGTCCTCCGTTCTTGGTTTTTGGAACTGAACTTGTTGATGATGACGTTACACGAGAACACGAGGACACAAGAACACTGAAGACCGCATATTGAGAAACAGCCAATGTGTTCATTTTCCCCTTTTCCTTGCCGGTTTGTCACATTATCTTTTTGTGTTCTTGTCTAGTCTTGTTACTGCTTGATAGGAGTTGTTTATATAGTGTAGTTTTGTTTATTTTGTCTAGTCTTAGTTTAGTACTAATCTTTTTAATCTTTATCTCGAATTCATTTAGCCTTTTGATTTGTTTTTTTTTATCTTCTCTCAGCAAGGTTACTTTCATTTTTATTTTCATTTTTATTTAGCCACTTTCGTGATCCTCAGTCCCAGTCTAGTCCTAGTCTTTTGTTAGTTCTTTATTGTAGTTCTTTTTGCTGTGTTTTGCTTTCTATTTTAGTTCTAGCTACAGCTCATTCCTTTTGGCCTTTTGTTTGAAGTTTTAGTAGTTTTATTTAGTCCCTTTTGTTTCATTTTATTTCTCAAGCTTTATTATTTCCCTCTTAAATGTTTCTTGTTTTTACAGGGTTCTAGTTTGTTTTTGCTTGCTTTTCTTTTAAGATTTTCTTGTCTCCCCAGCTGTCTAGTCCTGTTGTGTTGCTTGTCACTTGCCTCCTGAGTCTCCGCTTGTGCATCCCCTTGGCGTGGCGTCCCATCTGTTTGCTGACCCTGTCCCAAACTTGAGGTTCTGCTAGCTACTTACTGACTGCTTGGCCTGAAGTTTAGAATTCCCCCTTTCCTGACCAGCCTGTTTCACCCGGACTCTCCCATCTGTATCATTCTGAAGTCCTGAGTCTCCATCCCTCACCAGCCTGTTCTCCTGTTGTCACCCTGCACTATTGTGTGGACTGTCCTTCTGCATTGCTTTGTGTCCCTCCTGTAATTAAACCCTGTTCTCCTGTTTATTCTGCGTTTGGGTCCTCCTTGCCAACTCTGACAGTAAAGACCTTATTATGAATATTAAATAATTAGCCTAACAATGTAATATTTTAACAATATATAAAGGTCTTGTTTAACATTTGAAGAAGAGTTGTTACTGTTAATAAAGCGAACTAAAACTATTATTTATTTAGACTATTATTTTTTAGACTATTTATAATATTAGTTATAAATGAATGTGAATGTGCACATTTGTGCATTGGTAAAAAAAGGATGAATATAAAGAAATGGACAACAAAGAAAAAAAATACAACAGGACTCCTTAAGTTTAGCTTGTATATCTGTAATCACACTGGGACACCGCACTGTCCTTAAACTGACCACCTCTATAATTGTATGGCATGTTCAATATATTCAGACTGACCAAAGAGCAACTGTGTGTTAAGTAGGAGTGACTCCTCCTGTCAGCACAGATTTTATGAAGGACTTTTAAAGTCATGCAAATAAACTACATGAATTTTGGATTTATATACTGTATTGGATATGGGATCATATAAGAAAGTGGCCCAAATCAGAATTGAAAAAGATCTGATTCTGTGCACTTTGTGCTGTTGAGATAAGAAAATAGAGAGAAAAAAAAATCTATAAATACAATCTAATAAAAAAAATAGACTCCTATCAAACTTTAGCCCCCAAATCTCTGCACTTTAATTAGTCTACCTAGAATCACTGGAAAAAAAATGTTACTCCACAAACATTTAAGAAAATTCCAAAAACAGACATATAAATACAGTTAGCAAATTTTATAAACACCAAGATCTTAAATCACATTTCTGAAATTATGAATACTGGGCAGATTATCAATTAATGAAGACTCACTTCTGCATACTTCCCTAAAATGCCAAAAATCAAATTTCATGGCTTCTAAACACTTGTACCATAGTAAAAGTAAACTATTTAATAATTGCATAAATATGTACAAAAACACCAAAGTGCTGAAAGCAAGTAAAAACTACTTAAAGTACTGCAGCATTGTATTAAATTGCGCATATTTTAAACAATATTAATTAATTTCAGAGAACAGTTTAAATATTTGCTACTTTCAATCATGAAAGATTAATGACCTTTCACTACCACTCATATCATTTTATTTTCAAACTGCCATGATAAAGCATGTGCATGAATCTGTTTCCGAGAAAACATAGCATGTTTTAAAGTGCTACTTCACTTTTTTTTGCGAAATGTGACCAAAAACACAAGGATTTTATAAGCCTAGTTTGAAATTAAATGGATAATTCACCCCAAAAATTCTCATCATTTACTCACACTCCAGTGGTCCTAAACTTTTAAGTGTTTTTTTCTTCTGTTGAACACAAAACAAGATATTCTGAAGAAAGCTGGAAAAAGTACTATATAAATCAATAAATGTTGTTGTTTTTTCAGCATTATTCAAAATCTATTCTTTTGCTTTCTACACTCAAACAGGTTTGAAACAAGTAAAAGAAAAAAAAATATGGCAGAATTTCAATAATATTTTATTTATAGGTGGATTAAATTAAGTGGACTTAACTAATATATACACTCAAAATTAATAATTTATATAAAGTACTTATTGTGTAAATACCTGTTTTAAAATTGTATGATTGACTAAATACCTGAATGTAAATTTATGTAATTAAGTTTTAATTACACTTTTGATCATAGCATACACCTTAACCCACCCTCAAACCTACTATACCACAAAAGCTGACCCTACCCTACCCGTATCCCACCTCAAGAGCACCAGAAGTTTTCTGCAATACATTATGAAAACAGTAAATGCATTGTACTTATTTTTATGCAAGTACATAGTACTTAAAGCCACTTAATATAAAGTGGGACCCAGAATTTTCACTTTTTGGATGTAGAGACCGATTATCTCTTTATTATGCCCATAGAATAAACTTTATTTGTCCCCGAGAGAAAACTTGTCTTGGGCAAAAAGGTGCTATGCTTTGTTTAATGCACAAGAACATGCATTATACATGTTTGTAACAAACTGGATACAATGTTTATTTTTAAGTGTACTGTCCCTTTAAAAAAAAAAAAAAAAAAATCTGAAGCACATAAGGGTATAAAGGCCTGCCCGTACATGATTTACAGCATTCAAAGCCGTCCTTCTAGAAGGTTCATTCCATCAATCCTCAGCTCTGTCGTCTTCTATGTCACTCTCTGATTTCTCCAGAATAACCCTGAGAGTCAGTCTGACCAGTGCAGGATCAATACAAACACAACCAACCCAAAACACACACATCAATTCATCACTTATAAGGCATCAGTACCTAACCAATACGCTCTAGGAAATGAAATCCACTTTGAGTGACCCAACAGACGCAGCTTTCTCATAATAAAGAAGAAGTGGACATGAATGCAGAGATGATGAATTGCTGCACTGCATTACTGTTGACCTTGAACTGTTCCACACAAGCCACATGGTGGGACACTCACCCGTTGCTTATCCGGATCGACATATCTAATGCCAAAATAGTCCTTCTCCAGCAGGTTTAGATGGTGGCAGATGAGGTCGAACAAATACTGGCCTTTGGCATCCCTCTGAAAGACAAAGAAAATAACACATGATCAATAGGGGAGGGGTTTATTTATTGTCTGGATTTGTAGTTTACAGTTGGACTAAAGAAAAGGATGGATGAACTAAAGGAAATCAGCCAAGCATAGCTATTTAGTTCATTGAATTTCATGCTGAGGTGGAAAGCAGAGAATTTTAAAAGGGTCCCATTACACTTCTTGCACTTTCAGTTCTTTAGTGCATAATGAGCATGTAAAAACATCTGCAAAGTTAAGCACTGTTTATGAACTCACTTAAGTGCCTTAATTGTAATCCTGCATTTTCTAATAGTAACATATGCAGTTAGGTCTATAAATATTTGAACATCGACACAATTTTAACATATTTGGCTCGATACACTAACACAATGGACTTGTGTAGAGTAGAGTATGGAGAAGGAAAGGATCTGCTTATGATCCAAAGCAGTGAAGCATGGTGTCATAGTGACATGGCGTGGGCATGTATGACTATGAAAGGACCTGATTCTCTTGTATGTACTGATAATGTGACTGCTGACAAATGCAGCAGGATGAATTCTTTCAGGCAATATTGTCTTCTCATATTAAGCCCACTGCTTCAAAACTCATTGGACGGTGCTTCATAATGCAGATGAAGAATGACCCAAAGCATCCTGCAAAAGCAACCAAAGAGATTTTGAAGGGAAAAAACTGCAATTTTATGCAATGGCCAAGTCAGTCACCTGATCTGAATCCGATTGAGCATGCATTTCACTTTCTGAAGACAAAACTGAAGCAGCTGCGTCTGGTGATGAAACCTAGCTGAACCCTGAAACCAGCTTCTGGTGAGGTCTATGCGTTCGACACTTCAGAATGTAATTGACAGCAAATGGTTTGCAACCAGATATTAAAAAGTGAAAGTTTGATTTATGATTATTATTATGTCCAATTACTTTTGGGCCTTAACAAGTGAGAGGCACATATGTAAACTTGTAATTCCTACAGCGTTCACCTGATTTGAATGTACAAATTAAAGCTGACAGCCTGCAGTTAAAGCACATCTTTTTCGTTTCATTTTAAATCCACTGTGTTGGTGTATAGAGGCAAACTTTTGTGACACTGAATTGTGTCAATGTCGAAATATTTATGGACCTAACTGTATGTCACAATATCCCATATGTAATGGTCTTGCACCAGTGCAAACTGTGTTTTTGGCTTAGAAATAGTACTGTCTGTATTTACTAAACTGTCTAAACTGATGTCACTGTGACTGATAGGGTTAGAGGTGAGGTTAGGTGAGTTCATTAAAAAGCAATGGATGCAGCTCAGAATGCACTGCACTGAGTCTGCAGCCAGACCCCTCTCAACGAACAACCAATTACTCTAGAATATGTTGTATGTGACAAATGCCCTTCCAGCCGAAAAGTACACTAACTCATGAACCCCCAGTGCTGGGAACACCAACGCATTCTCCCATTCACGCACACATTTCTTTACCCAGTTCCCTAAAATCGTATGGCTTTGGTCTGTGGGGGAACCTTTTTGCTGTGAGGCGACAGTGCTAACCACTGAGCCACTATGCTGCTTACAAAGTAGACTTACATACATACAGTGCATGAATACATACATTTAAAACCAATGAAAACATTTTTGAAAAAATGTCCCCTTACAAGAAAAATAAAACTCAATATACAAAACCTTTTGTGAGATGATTAAAAAGGATTAGTGCATTTAAAAATGTATATTCATTCAATTGCAGGATTTTTTAAATGAATTTAACTTTAACTTTATTAGTATTTCTTAGTTGACAAATTTCTTTAGAAATACCCAGAACAACAGAAAGGGATGTTTTACTTTACAAATAAACAATATCTGGCCAATTAAATAAAGAAGTATTTAAATTTGCCTACAGAAATGTCAATGGATTTGTAAATGCACCTCTCATTAAAAGCTTGAAAATCACAAATAGCCGATTTAGCCAGACAGACTGCCCAGATAAATGCACAGGAAGAAGAGAGAGTAAAGAAAAATCAATAGTTTACTAACAGAACATGGCGAAAACACAATTTGCTCTCATTAACCCACTACTTAATGACTAATTTTTCACACTTAATTGGTCATTTGCAATGCCACACAAACTTAACAATGTATTTCATAATCTCAAACATTCATACCCTACTGTATTAGTCTAAGCTGCAGTTATGAGCTCAAAACACTCACAAACAGCTCTTCGTTGCTTCAGCAGTTTCAGGCAAAATGAGTTGAGTAAAAATTTAAATTCCCAAAAAAAAAAAAAAACCTAAAGTCATTTTTCTCTCTCAGCCCACCTGTAATATCACACTCATTTGCATTTGGAGTCCATTTTCTTCTCAAAACATACAACATCACAGTCTTTTGCACTTGCTTTTTTTTTCAAGGATTCCATGCAATATTTTTTTCTGGGGTTTGAAGTGCAAATAAATGCAATTCAACCTCAGCCGTGAGTCTTCAAGCATGAATGATTTATTCAACTTATTGAAAAAACTTGGAGTGCCAAATCCACCCCTGCAAACTCATACTAAAATGTTATACTTTTAGATTTACAGAAAATGTACAGTCAGAGGTGAAATATGCTTAGAGAGATTACATTGTATGTAAATTATGGTATTTCTTTATTTACTGAATTTCAGGTTGCTCTTTTTTACACATATAATTAACTCATGGACCATGGTGTTGTTTGTTTGTTTTTTCAGGAAAAGAGTGTTTAAAAGCATTACGGCACAAGAAATTATTATAATGCCTAGGTTTAACGAAGATTAATTAATTTATTCGTCCATTCATTTTCTTTTTGGCTTAGTCCCTTTACTAATCAGGGGTCGCCACAGCAGAATGAACCACCAACTTATACAGCATATGTTTTGCACTGTGGATGCCTTTCCAGCCGCAACCCAGCACTGGAGAACCCCAATATACTCTCACATTCACACACACACTATGGCCAATTTATTCGATTCACCTATACTGCATGTCTTTGGACTGTGGGGGAACCGGAGCTCCTGGATGAAACCAACGCGAACACATGGAGAACATGCAAACTCCACACAGAAACGCCAACATGATATTAAGCTATCATCTAAAAGCACTTTCACCACAGTGCATGATCTGTAAATTAATACATCTAATTGTTTTAATAACATTGGTGCTGACATGTCACACCATGCCCGTTAAGCTGTCTTACAACAATAAAGTGTGGGGGGGTGCTATTTTTAGCATTATGTAGCCACTGTATCTCCATATGAATAACTGCTAAACTTGCTTGGTAGCTGACCTGATACAGCGCAACATATACAGTATTTATGTAAATTTCAGATGAATTAACTACTCCAGACATCTACAATAGCTGCTTCTTTTTTAATTCATGTTATTTCAATTTGAATTGTGTTTGTTTTCCCTAAGATGTCAGGCATATAGAGGTCATTTCTACATATTGCACACTGATGTCAATACTGTAATTTGCTGTGAAACATGCAGAAGAAAACTTTTTTCTTTTCAAAAATGTCACATATGCTGTACATTTCACATCAGACTGCATTGTGATGTTTACATTCTACCTATCTATCAGTAGTCAGCTCAACTAGCACAAATGTTATGGTATCAGATCCAAATGTGTAGATCTTAAAGTTAAAGTTCACCCCAACATATTCATTTCCTCATCATTTGCTCACACTCAAGTGGTTCCAAAATTACAAGACTTCCTTTCTTCTGTTGAACACAAAACAATATTCTCTAAAGAAGACTGTAAAGAAAAATCATAGTTCATTCATAGTAGGAACAAAAAAATTATATGGAAGTCAAAGGTTGCTGATTTCTTCAGCATGCAAGTGAGTCCACTGAAGATTTTTTGCACTGCAGAAACACGAGTGGGGGGTTTTTATTCTGTTGTGATCAATGAAAGCATGCATTTTACACTTAGTGCTGAGTGCTCTGTGTTTTATAAAAGCTTTGAATTGGAGAAGTGCTTAAAGCTTGAGCGGGTCGCACTCGCGACTGCATTGCAAAAAATGCTACGGTGGACACGTGCCCTAAATCTTCCTTTGTGTTTAACAGAAGAAAGAATGTCAGAGACATGTTTGAAACAAGTGGAGGATGAGCAAATGATGACAGAGGTTTCATTGCTGACTGAACTATCCCATTGAGTTGGTTTAAACAAAAACAACAACAACAACAAAAAGGATTGATGCATAAACACAGACAGAACTGATGTAAGCGGTCACTCCAGCAAGCAGAATGTATGCTGTACTGAACCTCTCAATCATAAAACCTCAGGAAAGCTTTTAATGATGCTCACATAATGAGGTCAGCCAGCAGACAAGCAACATATTCGACCCAAATCAAGCCTTTCAGGCCCCTGTGTAGAGTATGAAAAGGGAAAACATAAAGGTCAAACACAAACTGCAGCATTTTCGTCTGCTATTAAAGCCATTTCTAGTCCATAAATGCTTTAAGAGAAGAGGCGTTTCTGACAGATTAAAGCATTTGAACTTACTAATGTTAGTGTGTAGCTCAAGGAAAAAAAGGCCAGGAGAAGGGCAGAAGTGCTGACTTTTGCTGGTTTGTTTACATTAGAAGTAGTTTTTAGTGTTTGAGAAGGAGCAGCAGACACGAGAGAGTCTTTCAGCATCGATGCCTGACCGGACTGACCATCTGGCTGTGCAAAGAGACACTTAAAGCCACAGTTCACCCAAAAAAATATAAATTCTGTCACCAATTACTAACCCTCATGTACCTGTAGTTGCAAAGCTAGTTTTTTGGTCTTTTGCATATGATAGGTTAAATTTTAAACTTAAAATAAATTTTTTTTGAAGAATATACCAAAATAAGTGATAAAGTAATATAGAAGTCTATTCTAAGATTCTTCCAAACATTCTCTTTTGTTAGGCAAAGAAAGAAACACAAACAAGTTGACAGGGTAAGTAAATTATAACAGAATTAAAAAAGAAATTAAACAGGAATTAGGTGAACTGTCCCCTTAAAAGTGTCTTTTATTTACA